CCTATTTTATGGGACTGCAGTAAGGATCTGTGAGATATTATTGGAGTAGGCAGAAAAATGCCCTCTCTCCCCTAAAGAAGTCTGTGTCTTAATCTCTGGAAACTGTGAATATGTTAGGTTACACTGTAAAGGAGAAATACGGTTGCAGATGAAATTAGGGTTCCTAATCTGCTGACCTTGAAATGGGAAGTGTATCCTGGATTAATTAAGTGGGCCCAATGTAATTGGAAGAGTTCTTATAAGTGGAAGAGGAAGCAGAAGAGAGAACCTGAGAGATGACAGCATGAAAAGGTATCAGCCTAACATTGCTTGGGGATGGAGGAATAAAGCCATAAGCCAAGGAATGTGGGCAGCCTGTTGAAGATGCAGATGACAGGGAAACAGACTTTCCTCTAAACCCTCCAGAAGGGGTGAGGCCTGTGGACTCATTTTACGTTTCTGACCTGTAGGACTATAAGTGAATAAATTTGTGTTTATGTTGTTCTAAGCCAATAAGAGTGTGATAATTTGTTTCAAAAAATTATCCAGAGTAGCAAATAAAAATAATAAAAGTACTCTGAAACTGATAGGAAATCATTTAAACAGAAAATATTATTATTCCAAGGTGACACCTCAACTTAGTCTCTCTAGCAGCTTCCCCCTGACCCCACCACCCTACCTGAGGGTCTCACTCTGTCTGTTGTCCAGGCTGGAGTGCAGTGGCACAATCAGGGCTCACTGTAGCCTTGACCTCCCAGGTTCAGGTGATCCTCCCACCTGAGCCTCCTAAGTGGCTGGAACTACAGGCACACACCACCGTGCCCTGCTAATTTTTGTAGAGATGGGGTTTTGCCATGTTGCCCAGGTTGGTCTCAAACTCCTGGGCTCAAGAGACCTGCCTGCTTCAGCCACCCAAAGTGCTGGGATTACAGGTGTAAGCCACTGCACAAGGCCTCTCTAGCAGCCTTGATGGCAGGCAATTTAGTTGCTGGGAGGTCTTTAGAGTTGATACATTTCCCTGTCAAAGGCAGATGCCCTGTCCTTGTTTCAGTGCCTGACCATTTATTTTGCTTTTAGTTCTTATTTTATTTGTGAAGTAGAGTTGATTACCATGTAATTATCAAACCAACTCCAGCCACCTGCCTTTCACCTTCCCTAGGTTCTCCTCAATTACTCATTATTCTGGTCTCAAATGGATGGCTAAGAAAACTTTTTTTCAGGATACTAGGCTTAATACCTGAGTGATCAAAGCCTGTATCACACACCCCATGACACAAATTTACCTATATAACAAACATGCACAAACCCTAAACTTAGAATAAAAGTTAAAAAGAAATGCTTTTCAGAGTCATAGTATTACTGCAAACTTACGTACAGATAATTCCAGCTTTATTAATGAGTATTCTCTAAAAACAACTGTGCAAAGCTGTATGCTTATTATAAAACAAAATACACACACACATATATATCTCATTACATAACATATTAATAGTTTTCTCATTAGTTTGAATGCTAATGGATTCTTGTCCATAGTTAAATTATCTTCACACTTGATCTTAGCCAAAAGGCCAAGAAGCAATTCAATTATCTTTATGAAATAGAAAATTTCAGGGTTAGATCATACTTATTAATTCCCAATTTACAAAATAATCTAGTAATGAAAATCTGAGTGTTATATCAAGGCTAATAAAACACATAAATTCTTGTTTTTAAGTCTTTAAAAATTAATATTAAAAAAGTTGAATTGATGCACAGCATTTATAAATGGATTAATCTTTCTGATTTATATTTTATTATTATTGTTACTAATTTTTTTTGAGACAGGGTTTCATTCTGTTGTCCAGGCTGGAGTGCAGTGCTGGAATCATGGTTCACTGCAGCCTCAAATTCCTGGGTTCAGGTGATTCTCCTACGTCAGCCTCTCCAGTAGCTGGGACTACAGGCATGTGCTACCATACCCGGCTAATTTTTATAATTTTTGTATAGACAGGGTTTTACCATTTTGGCTAGGCTGGTCTCAAACTCCTGGCCTCCTTCTACCCACCTTGGCCTCCCAAAGTGTTGGGATTATAGGTGTTAGCCACTGCACATGACCAAGCCTATTTTTTATTATAGTTAATTTAATATTTTTATATTTCTTATTGCTATCCCTTTACCTTTGACTTTTATTTTAGGGATGATATTTCTGTGCTTACTGATAATATCCTCAAGTTATTAGAGCTTCTCATCTAAACAATCTGTACTTAACTTTTTTTCCTAAAAAAAGAGCAGATTTGGGAGGGAAGATGGGAGAATACCATAAGCACAAATATATATACAATGAACACACACCCAGCAGCACACCAAATTATTATATATCCTGGGCTTCTGGAAAGCTTTCTAGGTGAAATGGGTCCAATGTTGAGAGGCATAATACCCTGTACTTCAAATGTACATTGAATTAGACTCAGAAAAAGATCGAATTTAATAACATTATAAAAAACATTCCAAATAGGGGAATGGTTCCCATTTATTAAGCACTGGCCGGAAGTAGATTCTTCAACTTATATTTTCATGGTGTTTGGAAATGATGACCAACTCTTACCTTTATCTTCCAAAAGAGAATTCCAATTAAAATACTACACAGTAGGGCAGAATGTTGTCTATGGAATTGTACAAGCCTGTAAAAGCATTACTGTGTTGCTCTAGGTATATTAATAATACGACAATGAAAACAATAAGCGAAAGTATATTATTTGACAGTAATTTCATGTTACTGAATCTAGTAATAAAAAATGTGGGGAGTTGGGTACTGTGGCTCATGTCTATAATCCCAGCACTTTGGAAAGCTGAATTAGGTGGATAACCTGAGGCTAGGAGTCCAAGACCAACCTGGGCAACATAGTAAGACTCCATCTCTATAAAAAAAAAAATAATAATAATAAATTAGCTGGACATGCTGGTACATGGCTGTAGTCCCAGCTACTCAGGAGGCTGAGGTAGGAGGATCATTTAAGCTCATGAGGTCCAGGCTACAGTGAACTATGATGGTGCCATTGTACTTCAGCCTGGGTAATAAGAGCAAGATCCTGTCCCAAAAAATTAAAAAAAAAATAAATAAATAAAATAAAAATTCTGGGTTGTATTTCATGTTTAGGGGCTTTTTCATTTCATTATTTCCAATGATTAGCATATCATTTTATAAAACTATTAGTCTATGACTTATCAGAAAAACAAAAGTCGTCCTGTATCACAGGCAGCTTGAGAAGCATTATTAACAGACATGCTGGCATCTAGAAACCAATGTATGCCAGCACTATAAAATAATATGCAAAGTATTTACTCTAACATATATTAAAATATGAACCTTCAAACCTTGTATAAAATGAATTTAAATTACCAGGACTTAATATGGTTCCATCTCTTAAGATTAATTTCACCAATCGTAGCTCCAAAAGATACACATATAAAAGGATGGAAAAATTTCAGAGCCCAACTATGTAACTTATTTACCTCTGCCAGATGTATTCCACTATTTTGACTTGTATTAATGTATACTTTACTTCAGAAGTTAGTTGTATATACAGGAGAAAAAAATGACTATAAAAGTTTAATGAAATGAGTTAGTTATAAAAGTTTCACAATCTGTCCCTTCCTCCCACCCCACAAAAACTCTGAACATATAAAGAACCATGATCTAATCTCTGATCATTTGACCAACTGATGACAAGACTATCATCTAAGATCCCTTACAAAGAACCACAGCTATATACCCCAAAGAATCAAACATAGGTGCTCAAACAAATCCTTGTATGTGAATGTTCATAGCAATACTATTCATAATAGCCAAAAGGCAGAACAATTCATATGTCTGTCAACAGATGAATGGATAAGCAAAATGTTGTACATCTACACAGTAGAATGTTATTCAGCCATAAAAAGGAATGTAATACAGTTCTACATACCAAGACATGTATGAACCTTAAAAACATTATGCTGAGTGAAGGAAGCCAGACTCAAAAGATCACATATTATATGATTCTATTTATATGAAATATCCAGACTAGCAGACTGGTGATTGTCAGTGACTTGGGGTAGGAGAGGCTAGGAAGTAACTGTTTAATGGGCGCATTTGGATTTATTTGGAGTGATGAAAATATTTTGGAACTAGAAAGAGCTAGTATTTGTATAATATTGGGAATACATAAAATGCCTCTAAAATGGGTAATTTTATATTATGTGAATGTCACCTCAATTTTGAAAAAAAGGGCCATAGTTACTGATGTGCTGTTATCTCGGTATTGACCGCTTATCCTGTTAATTAACCACCAATACAATATGATTTTGCTATTCTCTAAAAATTCATTCCATCACACATACTAAACTAGATCAGAATTTGTAGGTGGGGAAGGCCATTTACTATTACATCATGTAGATAAAATGAGAAATGAGGACAACTTCAAAAATGTTAAAAAATAAATGTTAGTGACAAAAGAAAATTAGGGAATAGAAAAGAAGAAACTAAAAACAAAGAAATACTGAGGACTCATCGCTTATCAAAACAAAATCATTACAAATATTCAAGAAGGAAAAAGATTGCAGTGGTCAGTGGTGATGGAGTATCTGCAATACTCATATCGATTAGAAAGTGATGGAACACCTACAGAAGAAGAAAAAGGCTTTGGGGCCAGAGAGATATATTCTCAATGTACCTATAAATTTATAAGGCAAAAAAAACCCCACAACCCCCCTCCCCAAATGAAACAAACAAAAGTTCTCCAACCCCTTATTACACTGGAATTTATAGACTAAATCAAGAGCTATTCAATTACTCATCTTGGGAACCATACACTTATTTTCATTGAAACTCCACTTTCTGGTTGTTTTCAAAGATCTTTAAAAAGTATAGTTTTGTTACCTCACATTCATAACACCTTTTAACCCAAAACATTGCTACAGTTATTTTTAAGAGAATAGCAGTTTTTCAGTGTATATCATTAAAATATTAAACTCAGATCAATCACTCATAAAACTTTACTTACATATTCCTTCACGTTTTTTGTTTTCACAGCTTTGTATGAATAATATGCAGGATAAAGCATTCCAAACACCAGCCTAAAAGTAAAAAGAATGACAATACTGTTAAAACACAACAATGCTTTTAACAGCTCATAAAAATTTAAACTAATAGATTAAAAAATAACTATAAATTTGTGTAAATTAAATCTACTCAGAAAAAGTAAAAATATTTTTAATTAAAAGATAATTTTAATATTTCAGAAGTAGTTTCATAAAAATAAAAACTTTATTTTTTGAAAAAATTGACTTCTGAAGCTTTTTTTCTCATTGCAAAAAATATTCTGTGGTTCCTTGAACAACATTTAGAAAGTTCAGGAAATTACCAAGAATAAAATAAAAATTGCTCCAACCCTACCAGAGATTATCACAGGCAACATCTTATTGCACACAAATCCCACTATTTATCTATTTGTTGTATACCTAAGACATAAATATACACATACTCAATTTGTGGTAATAAAAACTTGGTCCTTCACTAGACTAGTTAGAAACACTGGGTTCTAATTATGACAGAGGTGTAAGGCAATTCCTGATACATTAACTATACTATGTATTAAAATAACTTTCTTTAAGTACTTACAAATTGACTTTAAATCACTAATAGGACTTAATTTAATGCCATTTGTAAAGATCAGCAAATCCCAGATCCAGGAGATATGTACGAATGAATAATAAAAACATAAGACACAGAAATTTTATGACATAGTATACACAGTTCACAATGGGTATTTTCACATATCACAAATAAGTATTTTGTTCTGAAATGTTATCCTACAGTATTTTTACTGATTGATTGATTAAGATGGTGTGTTGCTCTGTCGCCCAAGCGGGAGTGCAGTGGTGTGATCTCAGCTCGCTACAACCTCCGCCTCCCAGGTTTAAGTGATTCTCCCGCCTCAGCCTCTGGAGTAGCTGGGATTGCAGGTGTGTGTCACCACACCCAGCTAATTTTTTGTAGAGACAGAGTTTAGGTTGGTCTCAAACTCCCGACCTCAAATGATCCATCTGCCTTGCCTTGGCCTCCCAAAGTTCTGGGATTACAGGCATGAGCCACCACACCCGGCCAGTGTTATTCTTAATGTCTGCTGTTGCATCATACATTGAGGTTCCCTTACTTTATATAAACAATACTATAATTACCACCTTTTGATTAATTTTTGAGGTTTTACTATTCCACATAACGCTGTGAAAAACTTTGTCATCACTGATAATTCACTTCTTGGTTGTGTTGTTGCTGCTTCAAAGGGTACACACATTTTTTATCTATTAATCTATTCTCATGCCTTAGCCTCCTGAGTAGCTGGGTAGGTGTGTGCTACCATGTCTGTATAATTTTTGTATTTTTAGTAAAGACGGGTTTTTGCCATGTTGCCCAGGTTGGTCTTGAACTCTTGAGCTCACGCAATCTGTCATCTGCCTCAGCCTCCCAAAGTGCTGGGATTACAAGTGCAAGCCACAGTGACTGGCCTAACGTGCGTTTCTGAATACCAGTAAATTTGAATTTTTTTTTTCAAGTGCTTACTGGCCTTTTGATGAGTATATGATAACTTTCTATTTTTTTTCTGTTGTTTTAAATGGCCATTTTAAAAAGAATATTTTATAGAAAAGTTGGAAAGATAGTACAGATAGTTCCCATATACTCAATACCCAGTTTCCTCTACTATTATCATTATTATTTTTAGATGGAGTCTCGCTCTTGTTGTCCAGGCCAGAGTGCAATGGCACAATCTCGGCTCACTGCAACTTCCGCCTCCCTGGTTCAAGTGATTCTCCTGCCTCAGCCTCCTGAGCAGCTAGGATTACAGGTGCCCACCACCATGCCCATCTAATTTTTTGTATTTTTAGTAGAGATGAGGTTTCACTATGTTGGTCAGGCTAGTCTTGAACTCCTGACCTCAGGTGATCCACCCGTCTCAGCCTCCCAAAGTGCTGGGATTACAGGTGTGAGCCACCGCGTCTGGCCAGTTTCCCCTATTATTAGCATCTTATATTGGCATGGTACACTCATCACAATTAATGTGCCAGCATTGATTTTTGTTTATGAATTAAACTTTATACTTTATTCAGGTTTCCTTAGTTTTTGCCTAGTCTCCTTTTTCTGTTCCTAGGATAGCACATTACACTCAGCTGCCCTCTTAGCTTTTTTCGCTGTAAACTTCTCAGACTTTGTTTTTTAATACCTTGACAGCTTTCAGGAGTGCTGGTCAAGTATGTTGTAGGATGCTTCTCTATTGGAATTTGTTTGCTGTTCTCATGATTAGAGTGAGATACAGGTTTTCAAGAGAAAAATTATACAGGTTAAATGCAATTCTTATCACATTATACCAAGGACACAGTCTATCAACATGACCTATCACTGCTGTTAATCTTGACCACCATGCTGAAGTAGTGCTTTGTCAGATTTTGCTGTTACTCTTTTTTGTCCACTTTTAATGACTATATTATTTGGAACTAAGTCACTATGTACAACCCATGATTGAGTGGGGAGTTATTCTCTACACCTTGAGAGTGGAGTGTCTACATAAATTCCAAATAATTTAGTTGTAATTTTGCGTGGGAGACCTCTCTATTCTTCCCCAGTATCAGTATGGATTCATGGATATTTATTTTACACTTTGGGTTATAATTTAGTACTACTTTATTCTGTTGCTCAAAGTTTTGGCCATTGGGAGATTTTTTAGTTAGCTCCTATGTCCCTTTGACATATCTCTATCGTTGTGAGGGTTTTGAAGTACTTTGTTACTTTTTGGTACTAAGTGATGCTCTAGGCTCATCTTGTATACAATAGTCCCCTGTCATCTGCAATTTTGGTTTCTGCAGTTTCAGTTACCTGCCACCAACTTTAGTTTGAAACTATTAACTGGAAAATTCCAGACATAATTCATAGGTTTTAAATTGTACGCTATTCAGAGTACCATAATGAATTCATGTGTGATCCTGCTCCACCCCGCCCAGAATGGAAATCATCCCTTTGTCCAGTGTATCCCTGCTATATACGTTACCTGCCCTGTAGTCGCTTAGTCTAATAGCTGTTTTGATAATCAGCTTTAAAAAACATAGTTTCTATAGGCTGTGGTGCTACCTGTGATTTCAGGAATCCACAGGAATCTTGGAACATATTCCCCTCTGATAAAGGGGGACTGCTGTACTTTCTGCCCCATTCCTAGAATCAGCCATTTCTCCAAGAAGCTCCAATTCCTTTTTATTGGAGAACAGTATTTGAAACCAAGATCTGGGACCTAAGTGTGCTCATTGCTACTGGAATGTTGTTGATTCTAGGTCCTTCTTTGTCTATTTTATATGTTAATATTTTTATAGGTTATTGTTTTCTTTTGATTTAATTTATTAATTTTGCAGAAATGCATGCATATTATATTCATTTGCTAGGGCTACCCTGACAAAATACCACAGACTGGGTGGCTTCTACAACAGAAATTTGCTTTATCACAGTCCTGGAGGCTAGAAGCCCAAGATCAAAATCTTGGCAGACTTGCTTTCTTCTGAGGCCTCTTTCCTTGGCTTGTAGTCTTCCAGCTGTGTCCTCACATAATTGCCCCTCAGTCTGTGTGTGTGGCCTAATCTCTTCTTAGAAGGAAGCCAACCATATTGGATTAAGGCCCTCCCTAAAGACCTTACTTTAACTTAATCATCCCTTTAAAGAACTTATCTCCAAATGCAGTCACATTCTGATGTGCAGGGGGTTAGGACTTCAATATATGAATTTTGGGGAGACAGAATTCAGCCCATAACACATACATATTTGCGAACTTTTGGAGTAAATAAGTATTTGCATTTACATGGGCCTTTCTTACACTAGAACAAGTATTTGCATCTCTCCAAATTTTTAGTTCATTTATAGTTTGTTTACTGATTGACTGACTGATTGGTGCAGAGGGCAGTACATACCTGGTGGCTTCCATATTCATCTGTTTGAGGCTTATGTTAACAAGTCACAGGAAGAATACCAAATCTTCTTTTGTTGGGGATTTTATACTTACCAACTAGAAGCCACATCATTAACAATCTCTGCCTTAAGGCTAAGCGTGGTGGCTCATGCCTGTGATCTGAGCTCTTTGGGAAGCCGAGGCAGGCAGATTGCTTGAGGTTAGGAGTTGGAGACCAGCCTGGCAAACATGGTGAAACCCTGTCTCTACTAAAATACAAAAATTAGCCACGCATGGTGGCGTGTGCCTGTAATCCCAGCTACCTGGGAGGCTGAGGCAGGGAATCACTGGAACCCAGGAGGCGGAGGTTGCAGTGAGCTGAGATGGCACCACTGGCACTCCAGCCTGGGCGACAGAGCAAGACTCTGTCCCACCCCTCCACCCCCACCCCCCTGCAAGAAAAATTTCTGCCTTATTTAACAATACTACTTGTGGGCCGGGCGCGGTGGCTCAAGCCTATAATCCCAGCACTTTGGGAGGCCGAGGCGGGTGGATCACGAGGTCAAGAGATCGAGACCATCCTGGTCAACATGGTGAAACCCCGTCTCTACTAAAAATACAAAAATTAGCTGGGCATGGTGGCGCGTGCCTGTAATCCCAGCTACTCAGGAGGCTGAGGCAGGAGAATTGCCTGAACCCAGGAGGCGGAGGTTGCGGTGAGCCGACATCGCGCCATTGCACTCCAGCCTGGGTAACAAGAGCGAAACTCTGTCTCAAAAAAAAAAAAAAAAAAAAAATACTACTTGTGAATGTGACTTCACTAAAGTTCCAGCCCAGACTCTGGATACAGGATTTTTAGCTGTGCTACATAGCTTGGGCTTTTCAGTTTAACTTAGCAACCCCCACCATCCCTCCATGCACAGGGACTTTTCAGTTTAGAGACATCTAAGAAAACAACTAACTAGGGTATAAACAAACACAATTCCCAGGTCTGCTGTGTGTTTGTCCACATTGCTAACACCAGAAAAAATCCCAAAGTTATGTTTTACATATTCAAGCTAATTATTTTAATTCACTTTGTACTTCCCTTTAGAACATGGATTCAATCAAAGTATTATCTTCTGTATTCCTATACAATCTAGTACTATCAGA